AAGACCGGCCCAATTTTTGTTCATATAAAAAATTAGGCAAAGATGTACTAGCATGTAATATTTTTGTATTTTGTATTCACCGATCAAAACCTGCCTCTTCACACTTCATAAACAACAAAGTAAATGTTTCTGCTGTGGTGCAATAATGTGTACTTAATCACACCTATATGATGTTCACCTGCATTATACTATGTACTGTAGCAGCTCTTTAAACTCACCAGGAGTTCAGTTTGACAATCAACTAGTTTCATAGAACACAGTTCAGTTCTGTAGTACACAGGTGGTGCACTACAGGTGTGTTGGTTTATTCTCTCTAAGGTTAAGCAATGAGCATCAGAAGTATTGTAATGTGTGTGAGGGGGCATTAGTCCGGGGTCTGGGGGTCCTCCACCAGAAAATTTTGAAACTAGTAGATGCAGTTTCCTGCATTCTGGTGTATTTTACAGGTTCCTAAACATAATTTTACCTACATAAAAAAACACTTGATCAAATAACTAAATTAGAGACAGATTCTAGTTGAATCATCCTGTTTTTAAACTCACTGCTGTGGCTCAGATAATGAAATTAATGACATTTTATCACAAACAATGACTTTAGAGGAGAATTTTACTTTTATATTTTTTGTTCTTGATTAAGTTTTATTTGTAACATGTCATTGTGCCAAGCAACTGCATGTTTAAAATATTAACTACACAATGAACAGATTGGAGACATTTATTTTTCTGATTAAATGACAGGTCCACTCCTAACAAACTGACATGACATCATGCAGCCTTTTACCATAATGACACTGTGTCAAACAGTGGTCATATAAAATATAACTTTCATCAGTTTTATCATYCTGTAAATATTAAGAAAAACTGATATATCGATGTTTGGAACTGATCAGAAATCTAATGATGGATGAATTGACAGATTTATTTATTGACCTTTATTTAAGCAGGAAAATCCTAATCATGAAAAACAGTTTCTACCACTTTCTAGAAATAAAACTTAATCATGCTGTAAATTATGCTTTTAGATCCATAATTTCTTTTATTAAGTTCACACAGCTGACTAGAACGTACTCAAAATAAATATTAATTTGAGTAAACATTTTATATTTCATTCACACCTGCCCAGCTCCTTCACCGCTCACCTAACAGGACTCTACCTGCTGAATCTGCCTCTGACTCTCAGCTCCTACATCAACAAACATGGACATGGATTAATATTGATGGATTAAGTATTGGGTTATTTTTACTGTCAGCTGAAGTCAGCAAAAAGTCAAAAAAATATCATGACATAACATGAATAAATTAACAGACGACCAATTGTTCTTTCCATGATCCCATTGTTAAAAAATAGTTCTCTGCCCATGAAGTACTGTTTTTAATGTAGAAAATACTGAAACTCTAAAAAAACCCACATTTTATTCTTGCTAATAATACAAGCAGTACTACTTTAAATGTTTGACTTGACCAATTTCTGTAATTGACTAGCTTCAGTTTCCTAATTCTTGTCATTAAAATACAGTTTAACTGAATAAAAACACCTCTAATAGATTTAAACTCATCACTGAACTTAAATTATAGCTAACATTAATGGATCACCTGGACTAACTAACTGCACTCAGTTTTGGTAGAAAAAACTGTTGTGGGGAAATGTTGATTTATTTTCTGGTTCTTTGTAAAGACTATAGTTTACCAAAAGCTGGACATTATCAGAGGAGTCTTACCTCTTCCAGTTGTAGCCTGTAACTCATTGTTTATGCTGCAGAAGGCAGCTCAATGCAACACAGCCTGTGTCTGTGTGTGTGCCTATGGTTTTTGCAGCTTGGTGGGGACCATTTTCCCAGTAAACACAAATGGTGGTGAGGACCCACTGGTCTTAATGGGGGAAAAGCCCGGTCCCCGTTGAGGTAAACACTGTTGGTGGGTCAGGGTTAGGCTGTAGAAATGACCACCGGTAAATGAATGGAAGTCAATGTAAAGTCCCCAGAAGAATTGAAGAATCAACTCCTGACAGTGTGTGCGACACCGCTGCTCTGTCACAAGGAGGAAGGGAGGGAGAAGCTGGCACAAGGAGGAAGGGAGGGTGGAGCAGGCTGTCTTTGCTCTTCCAGCTCTGTGTGTAAAAAAGGGAGGGGTGGGGGAGCGGGCTCTTTGCTGCTGCTGCTGCTGCAGCTCTGTGGTAGCGTCAGCAAACTAACAGAAGTTCATCATCAGTTTTTGATCGGTGATTTTTTTCGTCCTATCATCCCCCTAATAACTGCGCCCATCGGACCGGCCCATTAATGATCCGGCCCAGCGGGATTCGTCCCTATTGTCCCGATTAGCCACTCCGCCCTTGGGGCATACCCTGGACCTGGGGGGTATAGAGTGTGTATCAGGAGTGTGAATGGAGTGTGTTGTCTACATTGTATGTCTTTGAATGAGAGGGTGCGAGGATGAGGGTGGGATTGTATGATTGTGTTTGTGTATGCATGGGTATGTGTCAGGCTGGGACGTGGACTTCCCCATCCCCTGGTTCGTTTGTCGCCCCCGTCCCATACCGCCCTCTGGTGTGGGGTGCCTTGCCCGCTGGCGCGCGGATGGCTCTTGGGGTCTGGGAGCTTGGGTGTGTGCTGGCTCGGCCTGGTGGCTGCCTGTCGGGGCATGGGTCCTCTGGCCCTGTCGGGTCTCGGGCACCCTGGGGGCCGGGCCCTCTGTGCCCTTGCCTGTGCTTGGCCTGGCGCAGCGGGTGCCGGCGGGGGCCTGCATGCTCGTCTCTGCGGGCCATTGTGGGGCTGCTGCGTGTGGTCGCTGATGGGGTTTTCCTGGGTCTCCCCTATGGTTTGACCTGGGGGTGGGTGTGCGGCTCTCCTTGCGTAGCTGTACCTGGGGGTCTTTGGCTCTGGCCTCCCCTTATGTCTTCCTCGTGCCTTGGGGGTCGGCTCTGGGACTCCCCCACAGTCACTATTATACATTCCGTTGGAGACAGATGTTGGAAGTATTGTATTGTTTTCTTGACGTATATCTCACATATCAATTCTTACTTTCACTTTTTTCCATTGCATTGTAACTTTTCTTTCCCCCGTTCTTGTCTATCTATAAAAGAAAAAAAAAACACTGACATTGAAGAAGCTAAGATACTAATATTCAAATATTCAGTACTGCTTTCTACTGAAGTGGCAAAAAAAAAAGAGAAGGCTGAGGAGGGAAATCAAGATACAGGGAGACGGAACTTTTTTGGAGAGCAGACCTGTACAACACTAGAGAGGGAGCTGAGAAGAGATTCAGCTCAAACTGTAATGATGGGGTTTGTGAGTTTCACTGAATGCTCAGACACCAGAGACGATTTAAGGATTTTATTAAATCCAGAGCAGCAGGATCGGGGCCGACACGTCACCGGGACACGGAGGTCTAAACAAGAAATGACTTTGTTAGTGACTAACAAAGACAGTGGCAGAGCTTTGGAGTAGTAAATAGTCACTAATCTTTTTAGTACCAGTGTTTTGGAAGCCGAAACTTTGAAAGACTTTGAGAGTCTCAGGCGATGGTGGTTCCTGGCACTTCCGTGTTTGGCGCTGCGGCATGGTACGCAGGCTTGAGGAGAATCCGTGAGACAGGCGAGGGTCAAAAACATGTGGTCAGAGAGCGGCGACAGGTTAAGGGGGTCAGACTTAACTCTTGGTCGTGGTACACAGGCGGGGGTCGAGATCCGGGGGTCCGATGGCTGGGCAAATCCAATAGGGGCTGAGGCGAAAGGCAGGAATCCAAAAACGAAAGCGAGGGTCAAAACCAGAGAGACAGAATCCGGGACGGTGGCAGACAGGGGCGAGGCAGGACACGTGGAACCAGAGGACATAAACAAGGTTGTAACGTGGCAGGCAAGACAAGACATGGGATCGCTGGAAAAACTACTTGGTAAACCGTTCATAAATCTGGCGCTGGACTGGTGGTGACTGAGGGAATATATACTGAGGGAAACAGGTGCATGACATGATCTAGATTGGGATTTCTGTGATGGGAGGGGTGAAACAATGAGCAGATTGAAAACAAGAATACTGGGATGAATAAACTAGATTTGACTTGATAAATGCAGCATGACATGGTAGAATCTTGACACAAACCAAAGAAAGTTTGAAGAGAGACTTTCACAAATCAAGAAATGCTGATTATGGCAGGCAAAACTGTAAATGAGATTAAATGCTTTTGGAACGTGAAAAAGTTCTCAGTTTTGCTGATAAAATGTCTGCCTCTCACAGAGAAGGTACTGGAAATGAAGGCGTTCATTCATACAGGAAATGATGACGTGATGAGATGAGAGTCAGATATTTTGAAGGATTTAATTTAGTTGCTAAATGCAATTCAGAATCTCAATTTGGATGTTGATGTGTACCTCAGTGGCCCCATCCCTACAGCCCAAGGAGGTGATGAGAAAACTCTTTGTTCTTAATCTCTTTTTGAAAGAGTTCTTGTGCTGACAACTCTGTGGGATTCATCGACAACTTCAGCCTTTTCTGGGAGAGAAAAAAATCTGTCAGTCAGATGGACTGACTTTAAATCCATTTGGAGCTGAACTGCTGGTTTCAAACATGACGTGCTTCCTTATACATTTCTTCCAGTTGGAAGGAAACAAAGGAGAGTAATCAACTGATATCTGAAAAGCCTGGGGGACATGTTACAGTTGTTACGACAAAATGTTAACATGGCACAAACAACTTTTATTAAACTCACAATAACAAATTACAAGTGATTTTTCAACAGTCTTGAATATATTTCAGCATGAACGTTGTACACATAAAATGTCCCAAGTCAATCATTTACAGACAAAAAACAAACTTTTTATGGTTGGTTACATAGTCTAGTAGTTTTTGCAGTAAAGTCTGCACTAACTAGAGAAATTTAAAGAGTTTTAATTAAATTGTTTTAAAAGATCTGTATTCAATGATTCTTGTGTATTCCCTACACCTTTGGGATCTTTGTATAAAAATCTTTGTATAATCAACTGACTAAAAGATTCTGGGGGAAAAAGTTTCACATAATGTTGAATGAATTTTTGAGGCTTTCTTTTGCCTGTATGTCGGTGATATTTTCCCAGAAATCAGGAATGTCACCAGGCTCTAAATTATAATCTGCAGCAAACTCCTTATTGTACTTTGTCATCACATATTTCCAGTAATCTGAAGCCTCAAGACTTAGACCTGGACGAATATCCCAGTCTGGATATATTTTCATATATTCTTTGTAAGGATGCCATTCAAAATTTGTTTTGCTACAGTAAAAGCTGCGTTCACTCATCACAGAGTAAGAACAAATCTCAGTGATGAGTTTCCTTGAGCCACCCCAGTGGGCTCCACCAATCCCCTCTGGTCGATGCAGTGAAGCAAAGTGTTCAGTGTGGTCTTTTCCTCCTGCATCACAGGGAACTTCACAGAACGGACACTGTTTGCCACAACCAGCCACTCTGATGAAAAGTTCATTCTGAGGGTTCATCTGAAGATGTTTGAGTTTAGTTTCAAAGGTTGTGTTTTTAAACTTCTCTCTCAGAGTTTCTTTCATGTCCTTCACAGACTCTGCGAGCCAGTGAACAAACTGTTCCTGGTTAACATTGTTCAGGATCATGAAGGCACCAAGAGCATCCTGGGAAATCACCAGTTTATCACTAAGTTCTTTACAGATATTTTCAACAAATGTCTTCAAACTGCCTGTTGTTTCTACTTTAGGTGTTTTGATGGCTTCTTTTATGTTGTCAATGCTCGTCTGAACATGTCTGTCCTCAAACTCACTTATAGAGACTTTAGAGAAATGATCCTTTATTCTGTCAGATATCCAGGATTTTACATAACTTTCATAGGAACGACAGTAGCTCTGAAAACTGTTGAAGTCTTCTTTTGAAAGTAGATCCAGTAAAATCTCATACTGGAAGTTCATCCGCGTGCTGAACTCCTCTCTTTTCAGCATTTCATCAACTATATTAGGACCCAGAGATCGATTGACAGTCTTCAACAGCAGGTTTCAGATATTGGTTGGTGAATTCTTCAGCTTTCTTCTGGCACTGGTCTCGTTTATAGATTAAATCCTTGAAATCTGCACAGAACTTCTCTTTGTTTTTCTGCAGACAGCTGTAGGGATAATTTTCTTTTATGAAATCGTCTTGCATTTTCTGAAACTCTCTGGCTGCAAATCCACAGATGTGCTGTTTTAGAGAAACTTCAAACTCAATATCTGGTTCAACATCAGCTTTGTTCAGCTTTTCATCGATGATATGAAGGATCTCCTGGATGTAAGTATGATGGTAATTGCTTTTTCTTTTCTTTTTGTCAGACACAAGATCAGTACACGTAGCTATGATGGTCTTAGCTATTTGTTGTTTTGCCTTTCCAAGATCTTCATTAATAAAGAAGCATTTCATATCTGGTTCAGTTTTACCATAGGGGGTTTTAGTTGTGAATGTGGAAGGCTGCAACCCACACTCCATGATGGTTTTTTTACACAACAGTTCAGATGCATAACTCCCCTTGTGTGACAGATTTAATGTCAAATGATTGAACACACTGACAAAGATATCTGAAGGTTTCTCAGCAGTGAAAGTCAGGGTGTTCAGGGTTTTAGTCCACATCTTGTCAAACTCTTTGTTCAGCTCTGAATCTGTCATTTCAACTTTATTCTTCCTGCATTCATCAATTAATGAACAAACTGCCTTTTCAATCTCTTTTGTGTGATTCTCTCTAATTTGGTAAAGTTCTTTCATATCCTGTTTTTTGTCAGCTGCTGTGAAATGGTTCATAACTGAAATTTCTTCTTGTTGTCGAAGACACTCTATGCTGATTGAAAATTCTTGCTGCTCTGGCTGCTCAAAGTATTTTTTCAGATTATTCAGCAGTTTTATCTCCCATTCAGTCAACTGTGTGACTGCTTCACTTTTCAACTGACTGATAAATTCTCTGAAGTCAGATAGTTCAGATTTTACAGCAACTGTACCAAAGTTGGAAATTCTTGTTTCTGCATTGGTGACCCAGATGTACATTGCTTTTTTGAACTCCCACTCCCATTTGTTGAACTCTGAACAGAGCTTCCTGTAAGCATCAGCTACCAAATGGTTTCTGAAGCTGAAGATGAAGTTTTCATGTTTGACTGCAGTCCACAGGCTGATCATCCACTCTCTGAGCTCTAGGATGTTATTAGACGTTGACTCACAGTTTTTCAGCTGTTGGATGATGTTTTTCTTGAGCTCATAGACAGCCTCACTGTATCCTGCATTAACTGCTGCCATTGGTGGGTTTCCATCCCAGAGTCCAGGAATGTAGCTGTTCCCAGTATCTGGATTGTACTCCATCACATCAGTGAAGTTCTTGTTTGTCTCTTTCTTCTCCATTTTAGCTGCTGCCTGGGTCATCTCATTCAACTGTTGTAGGAACAGCTGTCTGTCTCTGAGATTCTTCTCATGAGCTGAAACATCTGAAACATTCTGATGAACAAACTGACATTTAGGTTTTTTTACCAACTTCCTTCATCCTGAGGAAAGCATGCACCACTATCTGCAGGATGTCCTTCATCTCTGTTGAATTCTCCATTGCAATATTGATGATGGTGATGTCACTCAGCCCAACAACAAGTGTTGCAAGCTCATTGTCATGTTCATAACTGTTGTCCAGTTGTGCCAGTTCTGGTGACTAGACCTTCAGTGTCGATGATCATCATCAAGTCACAGTTGAGAGTTTTCTTGACGTCTTCATTGACTTTGATGAGCAGCATGAAGGCACCTCGAGTGCATCGACCACTGCTGACTGCAAACTGAACTCCAAACATGGTGTTAAGGAGAGTGGACTTTCCTGTGCTCTGAAATCCAAGAACTGTTGCTACCAGGATCTTGTTGTTTGGAGACACCAAGTCATTGAGCTGAGAGAGAACATCACTCACCCATCTGAGAGGAATGTTGGATGCATCTCCATCTACAAGCTCAAGAGGAAATCCATCCAATAACAACTGAGCACAGAGTCTGGGCAGATGTCGCAGCTGTTGACGTGATGGGTCTGTTTCTGGAAGGAACAGAGAAGCTTCATAGATCTGACCCATTTCACGGAAGAAGTGTTCAGTTCCCAGTGAGCTGCTGGAAAGTTGTTTATCAATTTGTTTGATCTCCTCTTTGTTCTCAGAATCCTGACATTTTTCTTTGTAAAGCTCTCTGAGTTCAGACAGTTTTATACGAGACAAATTATCAAGGTTCATCTGCATCCATTTCAGGAAATAACACCTCTCTGTTCCTGGGCTGGATATGGCTCTGATGAAGTGTTTCATGGCATCTGACATTTTGAAGCTGTTTTGTTTTCTTCGTAGATCTTTCTTTTGTTCTTGAAGATTATTTTTGTAAGTTTCTATGTTTTCTGAACCAACTTTTTGAAGGCGAACATCTTTTTCTAAACAAGTCAGTTCTTTCCATATTTCACCTTGTAATGGAAGCTGATCTTCTTTGTATTTCAGTATGTCTTTAATTTCTGCAGTGATGGCGTCTGCATTTTTCTTTCCAGCTTGGCACTCTGAAGAGTTTTCATCAACTAATATTCCCAGATCATGAGCAACATCAGCCATCTTTTCTATTGACATTTTGATCTGTGGGTTATTAACTACCTCACTGACTGTTTTTCTCAAATGTTTCACAAAATCTGCATCAGTTGTTTTTTTCTTTATAATTATATTGTTTTTGTTTAAGCTCAACTTGTTTTGTACTTTCTTTACAGCATCTAAACTGAAGTTCTTACTTTGCTGGTTTCCCACCAAGAAGATCTGAGCTTTGTGGTTTTTGTTAGTCARCAGTTCACATTCAGGGTCCAGCTGGTCAAAGAACACAAAAACTGCTGCAGATGTTTGACACAAAAAGGAGTATTGTGTTTCAAATGAAGCGATGTCACCATGAAGGTTAGCTACAGCCACTGGTTCACTGAAGATGTCCATGTTTTTGTTTCCACGGGGAAGGTACCAGCTGATTTCAGTCAGTCCATTAGAGATTCTTTTTGGAGAATTCCCACACTCCATGTTGTGGTGAACAAAGGTGTCATGGTTCTGCTGAGGATTACTCAGGAGTTTATTCAGGATCTCTGATTTGGACAAGGAGCACTCACCCAGTCTGACAAAGGAAACCATTGGAAGTTCAGAAAGAACGATTCTTTCTTCTCTGAATCCTTTGGACTCTGAGAGAGACAGAGGTCTGTACTTTTTAACAATGTCTCTCATGGCCCACAGCATCAGTGTGCACTGGTTTGTGTCACAGTAGGGAAGCAGCAGAGGCACAGAGAACTGACACATGGACATTTTTAAAGACAATTCTTGCTTAACAAAACCATCAGAACACAGAAAGAGAGCAGTGATTATATCAAGAGGGTTTAACATGTCTGGGTTTGAATCTTCAGACGCATCATCAGAATCTGAATCTGATCCAGATTTCACATTTCTTGCTGTCACATTAACCATCATCAATTTCTTTAGAAGATTCCTTAGAAGATCTGATTTATACTTGAAAGGTTCATCAGTGATGGTCTTCTTGTTGATCTGAAGTATTCTGCTGAGTGAGAGCTTCTGTCTGTACTGATCCAAACCCAGATCTTCCAAGAAGCTTTCAAAATTAGTCTCTGTGGATATAAGAAACTCAATATTAATGCTCAATATGTTTTTGTTTTAATAGTTAACATAGGCGGTGAGCGGGCGGCGATACGGCAAAATTAGATCAGATCCTGTTTCTTCTAGTAGCCAGAGCTGCGCCGGAGTGAATTTTTAAAGATTACTTCGCACTAACAGGAAAAGAAACGAGCACAACATCCGTATTTTCAAAATAAGACAGCATGATTTTGTCGAAATTGCAGATATATTAATCAATATTTGGATATACTTCTACACAAATCCTGTCAGAATGTATGGTTCTGTTTGGGAAGCAGATGGCAACATGTCGAATGAAGCATATGTGTACTCACAATACATGAGGATTTTATTTTGAAATCAGAAGTTTCAAAAAGATGACAGAGATACAGTTTCTTTTTTTTTATGGATGGCCTCCCTTCTTCCCATATAGCCATCCCCTCCACACTATTATGTTTTATTTTATATTTTTTTTTGTTTTTTTTTTTAATTTTTTTTGTGAAGAGAAAATAGAGAGAGAGAAAAACAAAGAGAGAAGAAATTAGAAAGATAGAAAGACTGAAATAGCGATTAGGATTATATTAAATATACACCAACAAAACACAGGACCACACACCCAACATCTGTCCDCTCACCTGAAAAATAAATGGACAAACACACATAGAAGGCATTTATAAAAATATACACATACCCATACAT